ACATGTGTGTGTATGTGTGTGTGTTTTATAATATGGATATTTGCACACATTTTGTGAAAATATTCCAAACTAAAGCAAACGTAGATAAGAAAGAAAAGCATAAAAACATTGTTGCTGTAAAAGTTTATATTTTTTTACAGATCTATGATGGTTTTACTAGAAACCAGATAAACAGGTTGTTGTTTCTAAAAGTTCTTTGTGTTTTTTTTTTTTTCACAGCTGGCTCTGCTGGAGGATGAGTGGAGAGCACGCAGCTTGTGGTTTCAGCTGATGACTGGAGCAGAGCTGGAGATTAGCAGCACCTCTGACTGTTCCCAGCATCCTCGGCTCAGGTCAGCACCAGACTTCAGTTTGTTCCTGTTGAACCACTGAGATCAGGACGGTCACACTGCTGATGACCAACAGAGTGGTCTGTGGTTCATTTAGATTCTTTATACTTGGTGTAAAACAGGATGTTTACACACAAACACACACAGTGCCTGTCCAAAGAAAAGGTCACACACCAGTGTTGACATGAGGACGTTTTCCTGGTTGCCCAATGAACAAACTCTTTACACAAACAGGTTGTTGCAACTTTCCCAGTCATCAAGAAGACAAAATACCTCAAGAATATTAGTAATTTATGAATAAATTGCACTTTACTCGATATCATACACATTTTTCAGTCAGCTGTTTTGTTGACTTCTTGGAGTTACCATGCTCCAGAGTGTCAGACTTCAGGAGTTTTTCTGCCTCGCTCTGTGTTGGCTGCTTGGGAAAGGTCTTGGGGAAACCTTAAACTTTCGGTGCACAAACAGAAATCTGACAGTCGGGCTCTTCTCACTGTAGAAATGTGTTTAAACCACCGGTAAGTTACAAAGTTGTGAATGGCACAAAACAGTGAAGCTAGATAAAGCATAGAATGTGTTAATCTGAGTGTCAAATTTGACTTAATATCAGAACTATTAATATTTATATCATTGATCTTTGACTATTTAGTATTTTGACTGCAAAGAGTCAAATATAAGAATTTCTCACTTGACACTTAAAATGTTCACTACCCACCAAGTGAAGGGATAAAACTCGTCTTACTGGCTAACAATCTTCTTAAAGGGCCAATTTTATGTGTTTCTCAGGCAAATATTTAAATACTATACCATAATAAAGTATCTATGTCACCTTTAGCTGTTATTAAAATGCTGTTTTTATGTTTAAATAGAAAATAAACTTATCTTCTCATCACTTCCTCTTTTAAACGCCTTGAAATCGGCCTCTGTCTCTTTAAGAACCTCCTTCCCTTGTCACTGAGTGTGTATATATGTCTGTGTGTATATACTGACAATATTTATGAATGTAGGCATGTATGTATG